CGTGGCCATAGTTTATCGCGTTTTGTGGGCGTGTTGGGAGCTTCGGTAACATCTATAGATTATGCAAGCTTTATCCCTAGATTCTAGTATGGAGATTTGTATTTGTATTTGTACGTATTGTATTATGCGCGTCTGAAAGTCGACAGCGAAGGTTCATATACCCGTTTGGCGCCTTGTGGAAAGGTCTGATGTGTAAAGGTTGTACAAGATTGATCCCAGAACGAACGAATCACCCTGGAACAAGTATAACAGAGCCAGAGATTCAAGCAACTCATTTGCATGATGCTTACGAAAATTAAGCACGGCTAGCCCGTCTTAAAGACGAGACGATGGTCATTCCTTGATGTTATTTAGAAAGCCCTCTTCATGGAATTTCAGAAACTCATACAAAACAAAGCCGTTACTGTTTTACACAATTTTAAAATATTCATTTTGCTAGTGGAAATTCAAAAGCCGCCACCTTTTGTCAGTGAAAGCATGTTGAGTAACTGATAGTGACGTCACTGGACATGTGAGGCCTTATAACCTAAATTTCTTTATAAATAGCGAAATAATGTTCCGATTTAAAAAATCTTTGGTAAATCGATAGATATTAACAGAAAAAACTTATACAAGGTCAAACATAGGCATTCATAATATTATTATAGACGCCACAGTTTTCCGCGGTTTGAGGGCTTTAGAGTGGGCGTGGTCGGATGAAAACTTGTGGGAAGTGGCAGTGGCATATCTAAAATACATAATCCACATTATACATCCTAAGCTTAACTTTCAAGTTCTTTTAGTTCCCGAGATTTTCCCATTTTTGGTTTTTCGGGTTTTGTGGGCGTTAGAGTGGGCGTGGCTTGATCGGAAAAAAACAATTCGCATTTGGGACATCATAAAAACCTACATGCTTAATCCGAACTTACATACTGAATTTCAACTTTTTAGCTCTAATAGTTCCCGAGATTTCAGCGATTTTAGTTTTTCGTGATTTGTGGGCGTAAGAGTGGGAGTGGCAGGATGCTGAAATAAACTTACGCTGTCCCGGGACCTCAAGAATCTCCATGTTTAATCTCAACTTTGCATCTGTTATAGTTCCGGAGATCTCAGCGTTAATCAGAGGGACATGGCTCAATCGACTTCGCTATTGGTCCTGATCAGGAATATTATATACTTTATAGGGTCGGAAACGCTTCCTTCTATCTGTTACATACATTTCAACGAATCTAGTATACCCTTTTACTCTACGAGTAACGGGTATAAAAATATACAGCCTAGAAAGTTATTGTTCATTTACATAAGCAACTATATTGCAAAGCAATTCGCAAGTTTATTTGTAACTTACCTGCCAACTGAAAGAACGGGGACGTTACTGTCATGTGTGGCTATCAATTCCGTTGCCTCTTCAAATTTACCAATTATTTAAAAAAAATATACTTATTTATACATAGTTGTTTTTACACACTCATTTATTAAATTAGGTTCTTTTAGTATGTACATTCATGGCGCTAGGCTTTCAATCGCTGCTCGTTTTAAACTTGTGTTATTTTAAGTTTAAATCTAGTACCTGATCGAACCGATTCAATTAAAACGAAAGCTTAGCCCACAATAAAACGAAAAAAAAAACATGCCTAAATCCACCACTTCTTTATCACAATTATTAAAAAGCTACGACACATATAATTTAAAAAGTATAAAAGGGCTCCAAGTGGTTATAAAAGGAATAGAGCCAACCGTCCCAGTAGCTGATATTGCCTAAGGTACGTATCATCAGGTTTTCGAAGTTAAATTTGTTCTGAAAATGGTTAACAGGCAAAAATCAAAGAGTCACTATTTAAGATGGAACTGGCACTCAAGAGCAAAAGCCCCAAGAAATACTAAGTTTCACTTATTCAAGATAAGGATATAGAATAATGTGGCAGCGTGTTGTCCCATAATATCCTCTACCTGTACTGCTGTCGTGCTCACGGATATGTTGGTTCCGTTGTGCTCGTTGCGGCAAGTTGCTGTCCACAGCGATCGGTCACTTGGTAGGTGACTCTGCAGCCGTATAGTGATGCAGAGCACCGATCGAGACCAGGTGATGGCCACGATCAGTGACGATGGTTCTGATGAACTTCTTCTAGTAAGCTGGTAGCCGTAACCTAGCTCGCACAGATCACGGCCGTCTAACAGCGCCCGCCGTAAATCTTCGTGTGCCATTCGTCGACGTGCTTTCGTCATCTTCGACTGAACAAACGACCCGGACGGCAGGGCGCTCGAAGGTCTTGCTACCTTCAGGCCACTTCACACGGTGGTTCCGCTAGTATGGGTGTTGCGGCCAAAAATACTTATAGTTGTTATATTGTTACGAGACTTTCCCCAAATTCTATAAAAATGTTTTAATTATAGAAAAAAAATTGGACATATAACTCGACTATTTCCTGTAGCTACCATACAAAATGTCGGACCAAATTTGGAACGCGTTCCTATTTTCAGTTTCTAACTTTTTTTTTAAAGCATTACTACATTTAAATAATATTTTAAGAGGAAGAAGGCGCCCACAAATATTAATCCCTTAGTTTTGATTATTACAAGTAAATTACATGAAAAAAAAAATAACAAAAATACAAATTATAGCCAATGAAAATAAAATTTTTTAAATTAAATAAGATATATCCAGTTTAAGTCATCGAGTAGTTAAAATGCTGATGCTGATAAAATGGAGTTTTTAGAATGTGGGAGCCTTCTTTGGTAATAAAAGGATCCGAACTTAGAAGCAATCTGTGCATCAAATCTATATTTTTATCAATCCGAGTCTTTCGGTTGTGCTGCCTTCTAAACATTCTGATGTCTTTATTGTTAGCCTCTGCAGCTTCTTCTGATAACTCACCAATTGTCACAAGTGCATAATTTATTTCATCCTGAGCATGAACCAAAATTTTGTGCTCGGATGTTGGAAGATAGTACCATGAATACAAGTTAATCATCTTTCTGCATATTCTCCAAATTTTGGCGTTGATTTTGTAACCTGATGCTAAACACTGCAGCAATATTGAACACCGGATTATAACGTCTTCATCAATACCCATTAGTTTAGCTGCTAATTGCGGATTTTTAAAATATGCTCTGGCCGCATTTTCATAATTTGACGTGCCATTTCCTCCACTCATAGGTTTGTCCTCAATAAGTCCCATTCGTTTGCGAAAATCATTCTGTATTTTAGATTTCCTGATTTCCTTGTTGGAAGTACTTGTTTTCCTTCTGGAGTATTAACTCTCCAGCTCTTCAGGTCGAGTCTTGAAGTTGTGCTGAAAGCTTAGCAATTCTTCGTCTTTTAGTTATTTTTGATGACTCGCTAAAGTCCTCTTTCGGACGTCCACGTTTAGCAGTTTTTATCATTTCTTGAGGCTTACTTGGAGTGCGATTTATTAAAATTGTTTCACTTTCGTTAGATTAGATTGAAATTTAAGAACTGATGCCTTTTTGCGGTTATATTGTGTCCAAAACAAAGCAATTATTTTTGCAAATGTATGCAATACATTTCGACAACACGACCATCTCGGACCCGTGGCCAATGTTTTTAATATTGCTGCTATTTACATGATGGATAACCATCCATATTTTTTTTTCGTTGGTGCCGATTGTTATACACCAATAATTGAATATGTACAACCGAGGGAAGACACATTGAAAAGAGTCACCTACCAAATTAATAAAGAAATAACGCATTAAAAATTAAATATCAAAGCTAATAAGAACAAACAAGAAAGACTAACACAAAGACACAACACAACTACAATGCAAAACAGCTGCTTCGACCTTAAAGAAAAAAAAACGATGTTAGTATATTGTTGATTATGCACACATTCGCAAATATCTGCAGCTAGCTTTACCTTTTTTTATACCTAAATATATTAACAAACACAGTGAATACAAAATAAATCGGGGAAGCTTGGGGGATCACAATTCAAACTTTACGTAAACATAAAAAAGAAAAAAGATACTAAAAATATAACAAAGTGAAGAATTCATTTTATAATAATGACGGCACAAGTTAGCTTTTATTAATATTGAAACTGAAAAATAATACCTTCAATTTTAAAATCCATTTTATATATTATAAATTGGGCAGCGTAATTAGTTGACTGAAAACTTTGAAGTTCGCTTTTGTTGTGAAATATTCTCGATGCGTGCAGCTGCGCTTTGCAAATGGACACGTGTTCACAGCTTCAATTCTAATTTTAGAAAAAACCATCAGATTTCCAGAAAAATCTAGTTTGCCATGGAGAAGTTTGGACATTAACGGTTTGTTTACTTTTCGTACCTTTTTTGTTGTTGACTTTTTATTTTTAGCCTATGGGCGGAACCACCGTGCTTCAGCACGCTTAAACATATCTATCGGCCCACTCACAATTTCCTTCCTATATTTCCCCCACGGTTCAATATAACAGCAGTTTATGCAGCTCTATAATCTTTAGAAAGCTAACAACTTTATAGTAACCGGGGACATGTTTGAAATTACAAAACATCCACACGGGGGCTCTCGTCCCGCGAAGCATAAGGATCGCCAACTATACAAACTATCATTACCCCAACTAACATGTTAGAATTTATTTCCCCGGGTAAACGAACCTACTGGCCTACATACCCAAGAAAACACGCAGATATTATAGATTTCGCTGTAACAAGAAGTGCAATTCTATTGTGCGTTTTCGACGAGCCACAGCTTGTGAAACGAGTACAATTCCTTACACCAAATTAAGTAAACTGGCTGAAGTATAAAAAATATGTATGACCTTTTGAGCTCGAAATATCCCGCAAAGCTGATATCAAAACGCACAAAAACAATTTACAGAAATCATGTCTTCCGCTGCCAAATGCCTTACCTTATGCGCGGGAGCGCATGACCATCTATCATATCTCGAAACACACATGCTCAAATAGGCAAATATAGTGCTTCTTCAAAATAAGCACCGACTCCGTAGAGATACTGGCAATTCCATCGCTGTCCGACTTCCAAAGAAAGACTTAAGGCGTATAATGCATATAGTTCGCTTTTTAATTTGGCAGCATTTACTACTTTAAAATAAAAACATGTTATAATATAGACTCCAGGTTAAAGTTAGTTTTACACTGAGCAGTCGCTGGCCCTAAGTTTACACTCGCTGCAATGATTGTTGGCAGGGACGCCTTGAACGCACGGCTCATGGTGAACGTGGCCACAATTAAATACAATTATACAATTATGGACAGTATTTGTCACTAGTACTGGACAAAAACACAATGAGCATTTTTGTTCACATACTCCCTGACCGCGTCTTTGTAGAGCCACTACCTCCGAGTGAAATTCAAAATAGTCATCCAGTTGAATTTTTTGAGTGGCAGATAATATTTTTTCTTGGATGTTATAGTGCCACAGCATTTTAATTATCGATTCCCGCAGGTTTGGAATTCTCTGGCCCATTTTAATCTTACTAACAATTGCCATGGGGTTCATGTAGTCTAAAGCAATTAGGATTACCATATAATAAAACTCAAAGATATAAGTCGCAATGCTACTTACCCACTATACCATCTAATACCTTGGTCAATATCTCAGAGTGCTTTGTGGATTCATTTATAAGCAGATTCCATAGATCGTTGTCATCGTGTTCCTTGCAGAAATCGATTGCCATTTCGATGTCATTAATCTGAGAAAATTTAATTATATAACAATGTTATCATTATAGGTTATTTACCCTATGAATAATGATATTTAGGGCTTCAGCTGCCTTCACTCCTCCCATGCAACCCAGCAGGTAAACCATCTCTGGATATAGGTTCTCCCGTTTACAAATGGACAACGCCTCCTGTATGACATATTCCTTTGAACTCACAAGAAAGGGCAAAAGTTTCTTCCGATCATACTTTGCATACAAAAACACAAGTTTATTTTGAAAGACGTTATGTCTATCTACTTTTAGCAAGGAGTCCAAATACTGCAAAAAAACTTTAAATTAATTTTCGGCATATTAAATAAGGCATTTACCCAGTATAGAAACAACTGATTGTGCTCCAGCTGATGAACAACAACCTCTGTCTTTATTTTGCTGTTGTCTAATAGTATGTTAAATGCACATTCACGATCCAATTGAATGAGTGGAATAATTAAGTTTGAAATGGCATCATAAAGCTCATAACGACGAATTAGTTGAAATACGTCCTTGTTCTGCAACCTATAGACATTTTATCAGTCAGTTTTTTTTTTGCTTTTTGAACTTACTTTAGATACATGCGGAGGGCGCTTTCGTAATCACCCTGGTACGAGTATAACAGAGCCAGAGATTCAAGCAACTCATTCGCATGATTCTTACGAAAATTATCGTGAATGGCGTTAATGACGGCTAGCCCGTCGTAAAGATGAGATGGCCATTCCTTGATGATATTTAGAAAGCCGTCTACATCGAATTTCAGAAATTCATACAAAACCATTTCGTACACATGAGGATCGAGTTTACATTCGTCAGATGTAGGAAGATAAGAGCTAACGGAGCGTAACTGCTGACACTTTACGAACTTAAAAACTTCTTCTTCCCAAAGGACTTTGTTATTTCCTAGTGTTCGCAGGCAAAGTTTAGCAGCATTCTCATATTGCTTTTGTGCCAGTAAATGGTTAATATAAAGCCTAGAAAGTTATTATACATATACATAAGCAACTGTACAATTCGGGATTTTTTTTTTTTTTGTACTTACCTGCCAACTGAAAGAACGGGGACGTTACTACCATGCGTGGCTATCAATTCCATTGCCTCTTCAAATTTACTATTTAATTAAAGAAAAAACTTATATATACATATGAAGTTATTTTTATCCACTCATTTATTAAATTAGATTCATTTGGTATGTACATTTGTTTGGTCATTCCGTTCGTTCAGTGTAAAGAGGGGGAACGGGGCCCAATAAAGCTTTTTCGCTCAGGCGAATTCGGCCGCCGCTCTTCTCTAATGTTAGTCAAATAAATTAGTTCAAATCAAAACTCCTTTTCGTACGCACGCGTCGTGCCTTCTCGTTCTCGCAAAGTCATTTAAAAAGGTAAGTAAATAATAATAATACAAAATAAACTTTAATAAAAACTCTTATTAATTTTCATGGTGACCCCGACGTGATTTGCAGGCGTTTTTTTCGAAAGTGATTTAATTTATTGTGTTTAATAAACTTCCGCGTCGGTCAAATTCAAGCAGCAGCCAGAAGACTCAGAAGCCCGATCAAAGATCTTTTATTTATCGGCCAGTGCATAATTTTCCGCTAAGTGTCGTTACATATAATATAAAAGAGAGAGCCACCGAATACCACACATACACACTCTTGCACTGATATCGCTGCCAGTTCTTTCGACTCTCTCTCTCTTTGCATTTTCGTTTCGGTCGTTGGACAAGTGCAAGCGTTGTTGTTGTTTTTCACAGCGTTTTCGGTATTCTGGCTGAGCTTGTGCTACCCTTTAAATTTAGTGCCGAAGAAATTAACATATAAAATATTAATTTTATTGTGTTTTTTCGAAAATTTATCGACAAGTCCCCTGCTTGCTTACGTTCGGACTATACGACTCGTTATTTTTTCATTTATTTTTTATTTTATTCGTTATTTATTTCGAATTAGAAAAAATTTTTATCACACTCTTCGATTTTTAAAAAATTTTTATAAGCAATAATATGGCGAGCAAAGATATCGAAGAGCTTAAGAATAAACGAGATGGAATAACGCGGAGTATATCCCAAACACAGCAGTATTTACAAGAGGGTCGACTGTCTCTAAATCCAGTTGAATTAGAATGTCGATTAGAAATTTTGAATTCGCACATCGAAAATGCTTCTTTGATTCAGAATCAAAAAGAAGCAAAAGACGCAAAGGATTTGTTCCGCAAGGAACTGGAAGAGACTGCCTTAATGGCAAAATCATTATTAATTTCGCTAATAAGCAAAGGCAGGCCGCCGGTGAAGCGCACTTCCCAATGCCTTTTGCCGAGCGTTGCTCTTCCAACCTTCAGCGGAAAGCACACATTTAAAAATTTTTTAGCCTTTTCGAAACATTTGTCGACAAAAATGACACTCTGCACGATATTGAAAAATTTAATCATTTGATATCGTGTCTGGATGGCGACGCTTTAGGTACAGTTAGGGCGTTCCAAGACACTGCGATTAATTACCCCAAAGCCCTGGCTATCCTGAAGCAGGTGTACGGTAATGATTGTCTGATTTTCTTCGATAATATATCATCAGCTACAGTCTTGAGAAACCTGATCGACACAGTCAGAGCTCTTTATGATTCTCTACTGTCTATTGGGGAGGACAAACGGATAACGAATGCTATCCTCATGCATTTAATAATGAGAAAAGTCGATGCAGGAACAAAAAGAAAGTGGGAAGAACAGTGTGTCTATACTTCGCTTCCCCTTTGGAGCGAATGTGAGGCGAACCTGGATAAACGATACCAGCACATGGTCGTCGAAGAGGCTTCCAAGCCAAAAAATGTTCAGCCTAGCAATACGTTCCCGAAGAAGAGTTGAAATAAACGTTTTTCGTTGGTCGCTGCCAGGGACGACTCTGCCTTATGTGTGTTTTGCACCTCGGCATCACATAGGAAATTGCACTTCTTTCGATTCCTTAAACATGCAGGAGAGGTTCGAGTTTGTGAAAAAAGTGCCCTTATGCATTAACTACCTTCGCAAGGGTCACACTGTTAAAAAATGCAAGTCAAACAGGTGAAGGGTGTGCAAATCTTCTCAACACTCATTGTTGCACAGATACTCTGCTAATACAAATCTCGCGTTGCCGCCTTCTCCTCAGCCCGCGCTCACGCAAGAGTCTCTATCCACTTCGCTCTATCCAATTCTTCTTTTCAATTGGCAGATCCATTCTTCTTCAAGGCCCAAAAAATTGACATGCTTTTCGGCGCAGATTCATTCTTTGAAATTCTGTCAGTTGGCCAGATAAAACAGGGGCCTGAACTTCCCAGTTTACAAAAAACTGTTCCCGGCTGGATAGTGTCAGGGATATGTGCCTCAGAAAACAAAATAAATGCAGAAAATTCGGTACATCTCAGCTGTCAGAAAGAAGCGTTGGAGTCAATCGACACCACCCTGCAGATATTTTGGTCTGTGGAGGACTTGCCCATACTCCAGAGCAGCAACTTTGTGAACAACACTTTGAGAAACATACTCAAAGACTGTCGTCTGGGAGATTTTCGGTTCGTCTGCCGTTCAATTCTGACCCAATAACTCTTGGTTCGTCATATGAAGATGCGAAAAGTAGATTCTTGTCGCTTGAAAGGAGATTGTAAAAGATCCTTCGTTAAAGAAAATTTATCTGGATTTCATGGAGGAATATGTAGCACTGGGCCACATGTCCTCTACTAATGATTAAATTCCCGATGGCCCACACTATTTCATTCCGCAACAATGCGTGCTGCAGCCTCAAAGCACCTCAACCAAGTTGAGAGTCGTATTCGATGCCTCAATCCGCACATTGACGCAGATTGCGTTGAATGACTATGTAACATATGGAACTTCTCCAGCTCCGTTTATGGCGATCCGGTGTTTAATGCAGCTTGGAGAGATGGCGCAAGGTAAGTATCCAAATCCTCGACTTTGCTCCGAGTTGGTGGTCGGTTGTTGAATGCTCCTATCCCGTACGAAGCCAAATTTCCGTTGTTGCTATCGAAAGGCTTGCAATTCGTTAAATCTTACGTGTCCTACCTGCACGTTAGGAACTTTCATCAATTATTTTTCCCTTTTGAAAAAGTATGGTTAGTCAATGCTCAAGAAGTAAGTTGCCGAACTGATCGTTCGTGCATGCGCTGCTTCCGGTGCAACTCCGCAACTCTTGACGCAAATAATGGGGAACTTGCCATCAGACAGACTTCAAGCTCTTCGCCCGTTCAATATCTGCGGCGTTGATTTTTGTGGAACATTTAGCACAACCTATCGTATTCGTGGCAAGCCACCGTACAAGTCGTACATGGCAGTGTTTGTGTGTTTTGCATCCAAAGCGGTCCACTTAGAGTTTGTGTCTGACCTCACCACTGATGCTTTTTATGGGCTTTTCAAAGGTTCGTTAGTCGCCGCGGGATCCCGGAGAAGGTGTGGTGCGACAACGTGACCAACTTCGTCGGCGCAGACCGCCTTCCATAGGTTGGCGCTTCTACTTGGACAATCCTGAAGGACATCGTCCCTTCAGAGGGGGCGGTGTTTGGTCATTCCGTTCGTTCAGTGTAAAGAGGGGGAATGGTGCCCAATAAAGATTTTTCGCTCAGGCGAATTCGGCCGCCGCTCTCCTATCTCCCTCTCTCGTTGTGTCTTCTGTCCATAGCATAAGATAATAATAAGAAATAATAAGAAATACTCAGTTCCCCTTATAAAAGATAAGGGTATAGAATATTGTGGCAGCGTGTTGTCTTACAATATACTCCACCTGCACAGCTCAAGAAACTGATAGCAGGGTCTTATCTTCAGCAATTACTGTCGCGGCGGTTGACAATAATGAAAACATTCGACTCAAAGGAAGTGCTTTTATTATTCGACTGAAAACTGTCCTGTCGAGTGCGTAAATTGCCAGTAATACGGAAAGTTCTGCTCTCTACGCCCAGTCTGGGTTACTGACCATTCTAAAAAAAGCTCAAGAGTCGACTTATCTACAGCCCATGTCCTAAGACAACCAACAGTGAGGACCATCAATCCCAACATTTTCAATAAATCGCTGCCATCTCAAAAAGCTCAACCAACACAGAAATCCTCTACCAATGAAAGGCACTTAAAGGTACTCTAGATACGTTTAGAAACTTTATGCTGTCTATGCAAAGACCACTCCAAGAGCTGGCACGAAACCAAAAACATCTCTTGGAAATACTGATTAGAGAAAAGTTAGTGTAAATGACTCTACTAAAAATGTTTTTTCTTTTGGAACGCCAACGGCGATTCCCATCTCAAGTATGAACTTCTTCAGTTCCTAAATACCCACGATATTGATATTATGGTCCCATCGAACCTACTTGACAAACAAAAACTATTTTTATCCGGGCGCTCGGAGGTACCGGCATCCTAATGAAATAGCGAATCAGCTCTGGAAACGTTTGCTTAAACATATCTAGCGGCCCACTCACAATTTCCGCCGTATATTTCCCCCTACGGTTCAACATAGCGGGAGTTTATGCAGCTCTATAATCACTATCCCGAAAGTCCCAAACTTAGGGCCTGCCTTTAAATTATACTTTGACTTTACAAGTGATGGGAACAATATTAAAGCTGGACTCCCCAAGAAAGTTTATAAGGACCATTCTTGTACATCCTGAACACATCATATATTCCCAAAAGCTACTGGTTATATCAACATGAAACAAAAATATATAGAAGCAAAGAATACCTGCCTAAAATTTAAGGCCAGCAGTTTTCATTAAATAATTAACTCCAGCTTGCCTCACCATGTAGACTTTAAAATACTACCTATAAATCCTGTCTATCTGGACCAACGGCTCTGAACTTTGGAGTAACGTAAGCTAAATAGAATAGCGCAATCTAAAATTCTGAGAACAATTACTGAGGCACATTGGTATATTCGCAATCCCAGAGATCTGCATATAAAACCCGTTAAAAAATTACTATAAAACAAGATTAATATCACACCCAAACCTATCAGCGAGACAGCTCAACAGCCGCAGCAGTCATAACCGATTAAATACCATTGTTGTGTTAAGATTTGAATAATTATTGTTAGCCTCTTTAGCACCTAGAAAAGAATTAATTAATAAAATTTATTGTTAAAAAAGTTTATTCACTAATAGAAATAGTGAAAGAAAGGGAACATAAAACATAACTGAAAAGTTTTCACAAGCAGAAAAATCGACAAAAAATTTAATTCATTTTACAATGTAAATAACACAAGAAGAAACGCTATAGTCGATTCCGCGACTGTGACTGTCTTATCTAATTAAAAAAAAATTTTTCAGAGAAAGAATATTTAATAGCTGATGGTGACGTCAATGCCCTGGTGAGGCCTTATATCCTGCACATTTTAATAAACCGCAAAATAATGTTCCGATTTGAAAAATGTTTGGTCTGGGAGTTAGGTTGGGCGTGGCCTGATGAATATCACCTCGAACTGCTGTGGCATCTCTTGATTACTTATGCCTAATCCTAACATTCTTACATTTCTCCAAATTTAAGTGTCCTCCTAACTTATATCTTTTATTTTATATCTCAGCGTTCTTATAGAATCTACAACCATTTAAAAATTTAGATGTTATAGTTCCTGAGATCTCGGCGATTTTAGTTTTTCGTTATTTGTGGACATTAGAGTGGGAGTGGCTGGATGCTGAAATAAAATTACGCTGTGTAGGCATCTCAAAAATTTGCACGCTTAAGTCCCAAATTTGTATATCTTACAGACTCTGAGATCCCAGCGTTCAATCGACTTGGCTGTCGATCAAAGTACTTCTTAATAAAAACACAACTATTACAACTACCAAAGGTTAAAAACTTCACAAAGCCAAAATAAGCAGATTAGTAAAAAATTGTTCTAATTCATAAAATAAGATTTGTTATTCATCTAACGACACCGACGAATTACCCTCACAATCCACATGAATAATCCACCTTACGACTCATGTTACCTATATTTTTTATTGTTTCATTCTTGCATTCATATTCACGAAATCAATTAATCACAACCATTGGTAGCTATTTATCTAGCAGAAGGCTATACCGATGAAAACCACAAAATAATTACCCACTTAATTAACATCGAAGAATATCAGAATACCACTCTATCTATAACACAGATGCCAAATAATTTTTTAAAATACTAAGCTCAATAGAAATAGATTAAAACAACGTTAACTTAGAACCTAAATTTCAGAACAATTTAAATCCCGAGATCTTAAAAATGTTTATTCGAATACGTTTTTGGTCAGACGAGAGCAGACGCGGCACCCAACACGCGGATAGCTTTCTTATATCCAAATCTTAATTTAATATGTGACAAACACGTTCTTTGGATATTTTCATAACCTTTGGGTTTTTTACTTTAATTCGGCGGTCGTCTAAAACCATTTCGTGAACTTTGGCAATGTCAGTGGCAGCACTTTTTGAAAGTCCCAAACGCTCATCTTCTCCCAAGCTATTACGGTCACGTTTAAATTCAGATGCCGAAAATTTTACAGTTGTAAATGATTGTGCTGAGTCCCCGTACCCAGAGTCCAACTCATTTTTCACCTCGTTACTAAATTTTCTTAATTTTCACGAAAGCAGCTGTCATCTAATAACTGGGAATCAAAAATGACCAAAACTTTGGTAAATAACTGTTGAAGATGCACAATAATATAAGATACCCGTTACTGTTTTACACAATTTAAAAATATTCATTGTTCTAGTGGAAATTCCCAAAGCGCCACCTATTGCCGGAGAAAGCATGTTGAGCATGTAGAGTGGGCGTGGCCATATGAAAACTAGGGACAAGTTGCAGTGGCATCTCTTAAATACGTATTCTTAAGTACAACTTTCTAGCTCTTATAGTCCCCGAGATTTTTGCATTTTTCGTTTTTGGGGTTTTGTGGGCGTTAGAGTCGGCGTGGCTTGATCGGAAAAAAACATTTCACATCATTAAAACCTATATGTTTAATCCGAACTTTCTATCACTTATAGTTACCGAGATATCAGCTTTTCTAGAAAATGCGAAAACCGTCTTTTGAACTTGATGGGCGTAAAAGTGGGTGTGGCCGGATAATGGTACCACCATTGCCCTGGCATCCCAAGACTATACATAGTGAATTCCAACTTTTTAGCTCAAATCGTTCCAAAGATTTAAGCGATTTTAGTTTTTCATGATTTGTGGGCGTTAGAGTATGCGTGGCAGGATGCTGAGATAAACTTTCGCTGCGTAGGGACCCCAATAATCTTCATGCTCAATCTCGCATAGTTCCTGAGATCTCAGTGTTCATACGGACAGATAGATGGACGGACGGACGGAAATGGCTTAATCTACTCGTACTTTGCTATTGATACTGATCAAGAATATATATACTTTATAGGGTCGGAAACGCTTCCTACTACCTGTTAGATACTTTTCAACGAATTTAATATACACTTTTACTCTACGAGTAACGGGTATAAATATTTCCCAAACTTCACTATTCACAAGAGCATCGTTTGAAAAACTATAAGATACCCTTATTGTTTTATCCAATTTTAAAATATTTCTTAAATATACGTCGAGCTGCAGTGGCATCTCTAGAATACTTGTTCTTAAGCCTAACTTGCTCTTATAGTTTACGAAACAGTAATGCAACGCCATAAATGAGAATCACTTTATGGCTAGAAGTCAAAGAAAATGCATTTATTGACAAAAAACACGTAGTCAATTATCTAAACCCTGCCAAAGAACATTTAATGTGGTTCCTAGAGAAATAAATAAAGAATACATGCTTATAGTTCTTGCTATTTTAGCGTTTTCAGTTTTCCGCGTTTGTTGGCGTGGCCAATTATCTCTAGATTTATTTCTTCTGCAGTTAGATTTTTAACGTGATTTAACTGTGAATACTTAAAAGTCTGTTAAAGATCACAATTTTTCCCTTGGGAGGTAGTAAGATTTAGATATTGTATAAAATTTGTTCTTTGACCAACTAGACTATTAAAAGAAAACAATACATATATTTTAATAACCAAGATTAAAAAAAAAGTGTGTAACTTGATCATACCTTCTACATACACTGTGAATAATCTATAATTTCAGTCGTACAACGGTTTTCTCTTAATCAAAGAGCAACAAATATTGACGGTATTTTTTTTAAATTTTTCCACGGTCACACTTTTCAATAGTAGCTAAAGATGAGGCGTTTGAATTTAGTAACTTTTGTTACAGCCGTATCTGCTTTTTTTTTTGGTAGTTTTTTTTCTAAAATACTTAGTTGGGTAGACCAATGCCCACAACACTTAAGCAGGGAGTATCAAAAGGAGCTGTATCCGAAATTTTTTCTAGTGGTGTTGGTGTTGAGTCCGCCGCGTAACGCTGAGCAAAGAAACACCATACGGAGAACCTGGCTCCAAAATGCAAATCAGCTCTTCTATCAGCCTTATTTACCCGAAGAATTAATTTATCTTCCAACATACAGTCCTGATGGCCATTTGCAGGTGGAGTTAGTCGAGCACCAGGAGAATCGACTGAGGCAGTATATGGAATGGCGCGACAACGTGCTAACCAGTGATTTACCAAAGGAAAGGAAAAAGCGGGGATGGATTAAAGTTAAGCACGTTTTTGCCATAGGCACGTGGAATATCAGCAGCTACTTACAAGCGGAGCTGCTGAAGGAGGAGAAGCAATACGCTGATCTTCTCCTTCTACAACGCCACCATGATACATACGGCAACCTCACGGAGAAGCTGTTACAGGCCCTAGATACTTTGAGGTACCACTATGAATTCTCATATGTGATTAAAGTAGACGACGACACATACGTTAAACTAGACAATCTGGTAAATGAGCTTGTTTCCTACGATCAAAAATTACTTCGCCAAAAATCTAACTATGGCCACCATCCCTTGCCACAGTTATATTGGGGCTATTTCAATGGTCGAGCAACGGTAAAAACTAAAGGCCAGTGGAAGGAGACTAATTATTATCTGAGCAAAAACTACCTGCCGTATGCCCTAGGCGGCGGATACGTCTTATCTCGAAAACTGTGCGAATATATTGTTAATAGTTCCAAAATCCTCACGCACTATGTGTCAGAGGATGTTTCTGTAGGCACTTGGCTAGCTCCATTGCGTCACGTTTATCGCTGGCACGATCCTAGATTCGACACCGCCTACAAGCCTCGAAAATGTCAGACCTATCATATGGTCTTGCACAAACGGAATATAAAAATGATGTCAGACATATACGGTGGCAAACTCTGCAGTGGTATAAACTCCAGCTCATTAACTGCATACTACTACGATTGGTCAAGAACATCGGAAAAATGTTGCGATAACTTAGTATTATAATCATACTATCGCTTAGAAAATAGTTTATTAGCTTACCTGTGCTTAATTAACCATTCTATGCGGTCGTCTGTTTCAATAAGACTAGCTACCACAATATCCTTGGGGGCCACAATATAAAAACGATTTTCCTCTATTATGCTACCTAGACTGTAGTCGTTAACTGTATACTCCTCGAATCCTCGCAAAGTTAAGCTGTCTGCGTAGATCTCCTTGCTGCTGTCATGCTTGTACTCAATAACGCACAGCACGGGACGCAAAGCTTTAAAAGATGAGCTCCTTTCTTTGCGGTACCCAAGCACCACTAATTGTTTGGCCGTGAGTTGGGCAAGTCCACAGATGTAAAAATTTGTTTGGAATGTCGAGACTGCAGTTATAAAATAAATATATTTTAATTATGAAATTATCAAGAAACGTTACTTACCTGGATCAACAATGTACCTGGGCAGTTTTTTATCTAAAGCTTCGATTGAATTTCTTTTACGAATAATACATATTCGTATTGTATCTACCCATCCGATTAATAAAGTATGTTCATTCGACCATCGCAGGTTACATGGAAAGTTTTCCAAACGTTTTTCACATTGAACCTCCCATTTTATTAACCCGAGGGAGCATCTTTCAGTTAAATCGTAGACACGGACACCTATGTGACTCGCCCACGCAACTAGGCTGGAGTGCCAGCAGACAGACAAAACGTGGCCTTCGACTGAGCAAAGCTCAATTGGTTTAAGCTTTTTGAGAAGATTATGATCGTACAAGATAAGTTTATCGGTGCCTAAAAACACTAACCAAATAAGTTCATAATTTACGAGCAGTTAAACTTACCTACCAACTATAAATCGAGTGATGTGAGACCTAGGATCGGGATCCAAGGCCACGGTCTTTATACATTTTCCGAAACTTAGAATTTGGTTATTTTTACAGCTGAATAAGCCCGTTATATTGACCTTAGAACTTAAAAGTTATCTCTAATAAGCCACAGTAAAATTCAGACTCACTTTTCCGTCATCGGAGCATGTAGCCACATACTCGCCCTTTAAATCCACATCAATTTGGTTTACGCCCACTTTATGTGTTTGGTTTTCGCTGGTGGTCAAATTCGAATCGACACAGTTTCCTTGATGGTCAAATAAATAGACGCGACCTCGGAAGGTGCCAAGTAAAAGAAACTACACTACGCATTTAAAATTAGACAAGACAAAATTAGACTATAAAATATAGCCTCACCTTCAAGTGCACAGCAGCGCAAGTTATAACATCAGTATTAAGTATTGTTTTCAAATCATTAGCTAGGCGTTGGTACCTAAATTTAGGTTCCACTTCCTCCTCTTGTATGCCATAGAACCGAGGGTCCTAAACAGGAAATGGATTTCGATATAATTCGCTAAAAAATTTAAATAAATCTTACGGCGCTAGTTGGCAAGGCCGTAGCCATTTTATAAGACGAGAAATTTTCCTAATTAAAAGGGATTTAATTAATGGCAATTATATTATAAATAGTTTATTTATATATGCAAATAAAATAGTACATAAGATACGCAACTGCTGTCAGCCTTACATATGTCATGTTATTTATTTAAGAAAAATTGGTTACTTATTTATTTTATAGTATATTCGAATTACACTAACATACATATTTATGATTTCCACTTCACATTTGGACTGTAAGCAAAATATATATATTCCACTACAGATTTAGGGTGTACGTACTGCATCCACTTGCCAACCCTAATTGTTAATATTTAATGCATTTTATACATTACTAACTGATGTGGAGAGGTATACGTTATTCTATTGCTCCATTGGTATTAGAGCATTGATAAAAGTAAGCAACACGAGGAAACGCTATAGTCGAGTGCCGCGACTATAAGATATCCGTTACTGTTTTACACAATTTTAAAATATTCATTTTGCTTGTTGAAATTACCCAAGCGCCACCTATTGTCGGAGAAAGCATGGCGAGTAACTGATAGTGACGTCACTGCCCATGTGAGGCCTTATAACTTAAATTTCTTCATAAGTAGCGAAATAATGTTCCGATTTGTAAAATCGTTGGTCAATCGATAGATATTAACAGAAATAAGTTACACAAGGTCAAGCGAAGGCATTCATAATATTATTTTTTTATTTTTTTAGCTCATTTAGTTCCCGAGATTTTCTCATTTTTGGTTTTTTGGGTTTTGTGGGCGTTAAGGTGGGCGTGGCTAGATGGAAAGAAAACAATTCGCATTTGGGGCATCATAAAAATCAACATGTTTAATCCGAACTTTCTATCACTTATAGTTACCGAGATATCAGGTTTTCTTGAAAATGCGAAAACCGTCTTTTGAGCTTGGTGGGCGTATAGGTGGGTGTGGCCAGATACTACTAAAATATGCGCTGGGATCCAAAGTTTATGCATACTGAATTTCAACTTTCGAGCTCTAATATAATAGTTCCCGAGATTTCAGCGATTTTAGTTTTTCACGATTTGTGGGCGTTAGAGTGGGCGTGGCAGGATGCTGTAATAAACTTGCACTGTCCCGGGATCTCAGGAATATTCATGATTAATCTCAACTTTGTATCTGCTATACTTCCTGAGATCTCAGCGTTCATACGGGCGGACGGACGGACGGACAGACGGACATGGCTCAATCGACTTCGCTATTGATCCTGATCAAGAATATATATACTTTATAGGGTCGGAAACGCTTCCATCTATCTGTTACATACTTTTTAACGAATCTAGTATACCCTTTTACTCTACGAGTAACGGGTATAAAAACTGAACAAGCCTAATAAAGAAAAGGTTGAGGTCATCGCCAGTCAAAACGCCAGAACGAAAGTTACCTAAAACGTCTGCTGAAGTTACATATAATCATTTTAATTTTTAAATGTAAATGAAAGAAATTATAATTCTGCAGGAATGGCCGTCAGGGTCACAAGGTGCGTGTCGCTGATAACTGATAGCTTCTATGTTGAGGTAGGAAGACTGGGTTGGAAGGGGAAATGCCCTTCGTATACTGCTGGCCTAGAGGCTCATTCAGTTGCAATTCAATAAAGAGATATGAAAGCTGTTTGCCAGAGTTTCTTATTAGGAGAGCATGTGCTCTTTATTGTAGGAATATCCAAAACGAACTGAACTTAATGGCTAACATAATTGAGCTTCATAGTACCCTCGACAATATGCAGAGTTTGCCGGCTCTGCACGAGCTTCCGGCCAAATGCTATGTCAGCTGTTTGGCTTACACTGGTCATCGGATGATCGGTCGTTGCCGTCGCCCGGTAAGCTTAGTTAACTACTGCCCCCTCAGAATTGAGTCCACCATCGACCAACCCCAAATGAGCTATTACTTTCCATAGCTGTGTCGTGAATCTTCTGGCCCTCATGGCTCGTTAGCAGGTTAGGCCGATGCGGACTAAAGCGTAACAAATTACTCCCAGAATTGACGCTATCTGTCTCACTCGATAACTGTCGATGTCCTCCCCGATCTTCTTCATGTGCTCCAGGTTACGTTCACTTAAAAGCGAACAAAAAAAGGTCTGCGGAATTATACATTTTTCCGAATTTTTAGTCCCACAGTAGGACTTATCGTTCACGCGCACAGTGGCGCGTCTGACGACTCCGTTAGCTCCGCAGTAGACCTACTGGATCCGACTGGATCTTTGCCTCCAGATCTCTCTCAACAACAGCTTCGCTGAAATAATCAGCCTCTTCCACGATGGGCGAGCTGGATGAAAACTGGCATAGGAACAGATGACTGCGGGCTCACCTCGTGTTCCCTGTAACCACTTCGTGGCGAAGACCTCCTGTCCGGGCTGCGTCTGGAAACTACTGACTGCTGGTTTCCACCGTTGTGTCCCCTGAAGCCACGTCGCTGCGCCGGCCATCTTCGTTCCTTTTCCGCACCATATAGCAGACGGTGATGCAACCTGGCATCAGTTGATCTGGCACTCGCCATGCGCATCGCAGGATCTGGTCGTATGTCAACTCCGTAAGCATGTGAAGCAGAGCCGATGTCTGTTTACCATGCTCATCATGCTCCAATAAACTCCCTGCAGCTCGTCGCAGCATGTTGCTCTTCACAGATTGGATAACCTCCATGCCGATCATCCTGTTGATCTTATCCGTTCTGGTCGACGCTCGCATGCAGAACTCGACGCCTCGGCTCCTTTCCTCCGACGTCCAAAACCATACACACGACGTTTGAGTACTCCTATAGCCACGCGGAGAAGTGCGCTACAGTGAGATCGATGAAGCGTCCCTGGCCCAGTCCACTATGCTCCTAGGAAGCTTCACCATCCGCAGGTGATGCTCCGCCTTCGCTGACTGCAAGAAGGCCGTGAGTTTACTCGAGTTGCGAAACGAAGGATCCTCGCCAGATGCTGCTCCAAGTCTGTGCAGTTGTACGCTTGGGTTGTCTCCACGAACGTACAGCTAAAAATCCGGCCACTCCTCGTGGTGCCCTCCAAATACAGGCTGGTCCGGAAGCTTCCTTGGCCCATACGCTCCTTGGGCTCCATTCGGCGTCATCGAGGCGTAGGATCCGACAAATGGCGATGCAGTTGCCACGTTGTGGATGCTCCCGCCCGGTACCACAAATTGAAGCTCACAGTGGCTCCACAAGATGATAGCTAGTCGTTAGCAATGGCAGTTTACTCCAATATGGCAGCAGCGCGAGGACTGCACTGCTCGCATCGACACCGCTATGTGGGACCGGTGGGACCCCGTTAGTTGGAACCTCACCGTTAGATGTGGCTAATGACGATCCGCTCCAAGATGGCGGCCGCCCTGACGCTTCAGCTCCTCCTCCAACGCCGCAATCCTTTTCAAAAGGTACGTCGTGAATGGCTGGCTCATCTGCGGCTCTGAACTCGGGGAATGCAGCATCCCAAAATTTTTAAATATGGCGCTGCCTCAGCGCCCTCCAAAATGGCGGCACCTGTGCCTTCAGGCCGCTGGCTGCGGACGCCGTGTCCTGACACTTCTTGCGCCTTGTGGTCCGCTGGCTACGGCTCCGATGCTTGGCGCTCCTCTCGCCTCCTGACCGCTAGCTGCGGTCTCACTAACTAACGCTAGCTGCGTCTCCCTGACGCTTGCAGCGACTCCGTCCGTACCCAGTGTTCGGCACTGACTGCGCCCCTCTATGTCGCAGGCTGTGACTCCTCTACTGGTACGGGATGTGCTCCTGGCAACTCTCTAGCTGGTCGTTAAGCCGTCCTCCAGGGCAAGTTGCCCTTGCAGTCTCGCTAGGACTGTGAGTAAAAGGAGTTGTAACTTTTGGCCGTTGTCTGCGTCCTCCTTAACTAACACTGGCTGCGGCTCCCTGTCGCTGGCTGCGCCCTTCTATGTCCCAGGCTGCGACTCCTCTACTGGTACGGGATGTGCTCCTGGCAACTCTATAGCTGGTAGTCAAGCAAGTTGCCCTTGAAGTCTAACTATGACTGCGAATAAAAGGAGTTTTCTTGCTTCTTATGGAGTTGCCTTTAACAAGTACCCCACACGCGTAGGTCCGAAGAGAAGGTTAACTTCAAGGGCCTATGTCCGTGGCTATAGAACGCGTGGTGCGTGTGCGTTTAATTCTGTGAATAATTAAACTTAACCTCACATATTTCAAACTAACATAATCTTACCGCAGTGCGGTCTCCTACAATAGAGCTCTAAACAATTCGATTTTTAAATTGATTTAATCGATCTTTTTGGATGAGCGAAAAAATCAATCAATGCATCGTCAAATATGCTTACCTAAAAAAATTATTTTAAAGTAATGTAACTCAAGTAATCTAATAAATATTAATCACTTCCAGAATCAGTGTGTGTTGGTGTTGAGGAAACCAAGAGAGGTTGATACCTATGTTCGTTTTTCAAATAAATAATGTAGACTGTTGTCCGCGCTGGAGGCACAGTCACCAATCGCAGAGCGTCCTTGAAAACCAAAAACGTAGACAAGTTTATACTGACAAATAAAAACCAATGGATTTTAAATAAATAACCATAAACATTGATCTTAAACAATTTTTTTTAACGAATTTTACTTTTGTTTGCAACTGTAAAATAAGTGTTTCCTTACAATTTTTAAGCAAAACTTGCATTTTTCATAAATTTTTTTTTACGTTTTTGATTTTTAATCGATTTAATTGATCTTTTTTGAAGAATTTAATCGAAAATAATCGATTCTCAAAAAGTATAATTGATTACAGCTCTATCCTACAATTCACAAGACAATTAAAGGCACATTTTTGGCGGCATCCACAGACCGTTACTTGTAGGCCCGCACTTCAAAGGCCAAAAAATGCATATAAGATCAGATAACTTACAAATACTAGATTTTCCTTACAATACTTATTTTACCTACTAATTAAAATGTTTGACTGTCGACATATGTGATTTAATTAAATTTATCCTAAGTTTAAGTGTTGATGTTACTTTGCCTATTGTTTGAATTGAGAGTTGCGCTTCTTTGAATTTTATTATCTCTAAGTCCTCTGCGTCAGGTGTCCCTGCGGTACCTCAGAAATCTAAACTCCTAGCCACCCGGTGATGTATGCCCAACGAGTTGAACATGTCACGAAGAGGAGCCATGACAATGATCATTTGTGACTGAGGAAAAATGT